AGAGAGAAACAAGTAGAAAGAGCCACAGACTTTCAGAGCCCACACTTAGCAGACTTTTTTTTTTATTTCAGCATATTATGGAGGTACAAATTTTAAGGTTTCAAATAATGCCCTTCCCCTCTCCCCCCACAAGTCTGAGTTTCCAGCGTGACCATCCCCCAGATGGTGCACATCTCACTCATTATGTATGTATATACCTGCCCCCTCCCCCTCCCACCTGCCCAATACCCTTTTACTGTAGTTCCTATGAGTCCACTTAGGTGCTGCTCAGTTAATACCAGTTTGCTGGTGAGTATATGTGGTGCTTGTTCTTCCATTCTTGGGATACTTCACTTAGTAGTATGGGTTCCAGCTCTAACCAGGAAAATACAAGATGTGCTAGCAGACTTTTAATACATGAAAGTGGAGGGAGAAACATATATTGATCCTTGGAGGAGACAGGATCTAAAAAGGGTACTAGTAGTCTGAATAGGGGGATAATTGGAGCTGCATTTCTTGTCTCAACACCACTCATCTGGTCTTCTCATTTGCTAGCATGACCCAACATGCTTGTTGAGAAATAATTTTCTAATCTCTTCTGTGTACTGCTCAGTGATGAACACATGTTTTTGAGACATCTGAAATACACCACACCTTGGTACCAAAATTTCATTCACCAGCACCATCTGGGGGATGGACACGCTTGAAGCTCTGACTCTGGTGGGGGGAAGGCAATACATGTAACCTAAACATTTGTACCCCCATAATATGCTGAAATAAAAAAAAATCATTCATCAAAAAGTGAATAGTTTATAACTCTCCTGAACTGTTGTATATCCGGTATCGACATATTACAACTATTTTGATAATGCAATACTCTAACTTAAGACATCCAGCTTAAGTAAGGAGGTACTTCATGAACACAGAGCCTCATTCTCTCATTTGCACAGAAGAAGAGAACAGAAACTTAGTGCTAAATGGAAATGGAACACCTCTTGGCCTCCATTAGCAGCCAAGTTGCATGGCCTAACAGCTAGGAAGTTACCAAGATCTATAAAGATTGAATGACAGGCTGCGCTAGGTGGCTCATGCCTATAATCCTAGTACCCTGGGAAGCAGAGGCTGTAAAATTGCTTGAGCTCAGGAGTTTGATACCAGCCTGAGCAAGAGCAAGAGGCATCTCTACTAAAAATAGAAAAATTAGCGGGGGCTGGGGGAGGGTGTCCTGGTGCGGGCCCAAATCCCAGCTACTCAGGAGGCTAAGGCAAGAGGATTACTTGAGCCCAGGAGTTTGAGGTTGCAGTGAGCTAGGATGACTGCACCTCTACACAAGGTGAGAGAGCAAGACTATGCCTCAAAAATAAATAAATAATAAAATAAATTTGATTAAAAAAAGATTGAATGACAGACACACTTAAGGCCAAACAGATACCTCCAATAGCCATTTGAGATATATACTGTGCCTCAGCCCTGTACACACCATTTTTAGGTCTCTATGTCCCTGTTGAGAAAGACAGAATTTGAGTTCGAAGGGATAGAATGAAAAGACAACATTCTCTCCTCTTCACCAAGCCAATGAGGTTCACTGAGCAATGAAGACATACTCCTGTAGTTTCCTTGTCAACTGTTAGTGTCAGCAGATTTTATAGGAGGAGGGATGAGGGAATGGATAGGATCACTACCCAGAGCAATATTTGGATGCAATTATAAGACTCCACTGGCACTACTTTGGGATCTGCAAGTTAGAGCAAGTTTCTCAGCTCTTAGAGGAGGGATTAACTAAACCAATTTCATCTAAATCAATTTGCACCGTTCAGATGATATGTTCATAAAGCAACCAAGTCACTCTGATTTGTAGCAGTACTTCCCAGAGGTGGCCTTGCAAGGTACAACATGCCAGATGAGAATTCTAGTAGTTATAAAAGTAAATATAGGAGGAACACAACCACCCCTTCATGACCCTGGCCTCTATCTCTGTCCTACACAGCCCTTCCCTGTCCTAATCCTGGAGCCACAAGTATGGAGTTAGGCCTGGAACAAAGAGGAGACCAAAATACTAAGCCAAGTGTGGGGCTTCCAGCCCAGTCAGCAGAGAACTCTGCATATTATAGGTGCTTAATAAATATTGTTGACTTCCTGCTGCTAGATACTAATCATACTTATATAGCCATGCCTAAAATTATGTATGCCACTTTTCATTAGAAATTAACTAACTGCTCCTATATAGGATAAGAATAGGAGAGATTATGTTTTCAAATGAGTTTGACTCAGATTGTTAGAACACATTAGATATGATACAAGCCTCAACTTAAAATTATCACCAAAACTCTGTATACCTAGTTATATGTATGTTTTTTTTTTTTGTTTTTTTTTTTTTTTTTGAGACAGAGTCTCGCTTTGTTGTCCAGGCTAGAGTGAGTGCCGTGGCGTCAGCCTAGCTCACAGCAACCTCAAACTCCTGGGCTTGAGTGATCCTTCTGCCTCAGCTGGGACTACAGGCATGCGCCACCATGCCCGGCTAATTTTTTATATATATATCAGTTGGCCAATTAATTTCTTTCTATTTATAGTAGAGACGGGGTCTCGCTCTTGCTCAGGCTGGTTTTGAACTCCTGACCTCGAGCAATCCGCCCGCCTCGGCCTCCCAAGAGCTAGGATTACAGGCGTGAGCCACAGCGCCCGGCCTATATGTATGTTTTTATTCAGTTGTACATGTATTGGAGGAAAAAACAGATTTAGGACCTATGTATGATGATAGATTTGGCTCCCAGGAGGGCTAATAATGGCAAAGTAAGGTTCTCAGTCAACTAAGGTTCCTACTTACATTTACACCCAGTCAATCCACTAACCTAATAAAAGGTAAATGAAGTGCTTTCTTTGAAAAGTATAATGCTGAGGATTTATAGAACCCTTTCATCTTCAAAGGACCAAGCCAAGACTCACAATACCCTGTACACAGTATTATGCCTTTTACACAAGTGCACCAACTATGAAAGAAAGGTCATAGGAATGTCCTAAGGCCATGAAGCCAATGCAACATCAGATTTGGGATGAACTCTCTGATCTAGACTCCTAGACCTGTATTTCAACCACATAAATCAAGTTGTGAGGAGCAATCAAGAGAAATCTAATTCACATTATATATCCATATTAAGTTAATTGATTGGGCAGGAATAAATAAAAATAGTAAAGACTGTTTCCCCCTCTGGGCAGTGATGTATGCAGAGAAGCTAGAAAGCAGAATGTGAATTTACCCATCCCCTCTTTCCGCTCCCCCCCCCCACAACACATTGAATTCCAATGATGGGCACACTTACAACTTTGACTCAAAACATTACAAAAGGCCAGGCTTGGTGGCTCATGCCTGTAATCCTAGCACACTGGGAGGCCCAGGAGGATCACTTGAGCTCAGGAGTTGGAGACCAGCCTGAGCAAGAGTGAGACCTCGTCTCTACTAAAAATAGAAAAATTAGCCCAGTGCGGGGCAAGTTCTTAGTCCGAGCTACTCAGGAGACTGAGGCAGGAAAATTGCTTGAGCCCAGGAGTTTGAGGTTGCTGTGAGATGTGATGAGGGCACTACACTCTACCCAGGGAGACAGAGTGAGACTTTGTCTCAAAAAAAAAAAAAAAAGCTACAAAAGCAATTTATGTAACCAAAACATTTGTACCCCCATAATATTCTGAAATTTAAAAATCAAAGGAAAAAAAAAAAAAAGAAAGGAGAATGTCGGGGTGGGAGGGGGGCGGTGTAGTTTAACCATTTGGGGTGGAATGAAACGTTCCCAAAACAGAAGAAACTTAGGGGAGGACGACTCCATATTCAGCAACTCCCTTCAGTTGGAACATTGCCAGAGAACTGATGGGGTACTGGGAGGGAACAGAAAGGCCCAAAGTGAGAATCAGACCCACACACCATACTTCTCTAATTACATGGTTTCCAGCATATTCCTTTATAAGAGCTCCTCCTCAGAGACACACAACCAACACCATCAACTCGCGTCACGCTCAGAAATCCTCAAAAAGTCAAAGCGGTTGAGAAGCAAGACGCTGCATGGCTGGGAGACTGAGAGTGCACAGGTTGATGTGGAAAGGCTGGGGGCAGAGGGGCTCTGGTGGGAGATTTGGGTGGGCAAGTAGGAAGAAGACGAATGATCATGAAGATGGGTAGGGGAGTGTGGGAGAGAGAAAGTGAACAGCCCGATGACTCCAGGATCCCAATTTCCTGCTCTAAGAATAATCGCCTCTGAAAAATAATGTGCTGCACACAACGTGCTAAGTAACCTAAACCTTATCATCACCAGTAATGTCTCTGTAAATCTACCCCGCCGTTATTTACTTAATTCTTATGAGCCAGGAATGGAAAAACCCCACCTCCCCCTGGTTAAGTCGCAGTCTGTCCTGTGGACACATGTAAGTTTTCCCTCTCCCCCACAGAGCTGGTTTCACAGCTAGGCCAGAAATAAGGAACCACCCAAACAGAGACTGGAGGATCGCTCCCCTGGCAGAGAAGGGATTAAGTTTCGCCGGGCCTCCCCGCCGGCAGAGTGTCCGCAGCAAGGCTGGCTGCTGCGCCAGCACCGCCCGGCAGACGGCCGGCCGAGGGGTGCCGCCTGGGCGGAGGAGGCTGCCGGCCGCGGGAGCGTGGGAAGGCGGCGGTGCCCTTTCCCAGACTCGCGCCCCGGCGCCGGGGGAGCCGCTGGACTGCCCGCGCCCGGCCGGGCCAGGCTCCGCGGGAGGCCTCGGGCCGCCCCCGCCCCGCACCCGGGAGCGCAAACTCCGTCCCAGAAGGGCAGCAGCAGGAGCCCCGGCCCCAGCAGCACGACAGGAGCCGGAGCCGGGCCGGGGCCCCAGCCCCCGCCGCCTCGAGCCTCGCGGGCCCCGTCACCCCGCGCCACCAAACCCGAGAGCCGTCAGCCAGCGCCGGCCCCGGCGGCACCTGAAGAGCGGCCGGAGCCGGGGCTGAGCCCTGCGCGGGGAGCGACGATCGACCCCCAGGGCTCCGGCGAGGGGGCGCGTTTTACCCATAGCGTTCCCAGGTGCCAGCCATCTCCTCGGCGCGCCCCAGGGCGCTGGGCGCTCGCCTGCCTCCGCAGCGAGCTGGCTGGGGCTCCGGCGCGAGCTCCTGGGCCGCCGTCGCCGCCGCCGCCACCACCACTCTAGGCCGCCGCCCGCCTTCGCCGCCGCTGCCGCCGCCGCCGCCGCACAGCAGCCAGGATCCGCCAGCCCGCGCTCCCCGCAGGGGACAGCACGGCGGCCGCGATGCTACCGCGGCTGTGTCTCCCGAGCTAAACTTAAAGAGTTTTCGCCCCTCAGTCCAGGGGCAGCACCATGACACCACGGCAGCACCACACTGTCATTTCCGCCGCCGCAGAGGAAAAAAAAAAAAGGCAATCCCTTCGAAAAGGGGGGTGGAGTAGGGAAAAACAGGGCTGAGGCTGACACCCCAAGGGAGCACTGGGAAGGGCCCGGCAGAAGGGGCACTCGGCCACCTTCTCGGGCTCACCTTCCACCGCCCCCGCCACTCCCAGCTCCCCCAGCCCCTCCTCTGGAGGCGCATTTACATGTCTTCTCCCCTGGCAGGAGTGACCGGAGAAACCTGAGCAAGCAAAGGCAGCGGGTGGGTGGGGTTCGGGTTACCACTGTACCTACCAGCTGATTCCAGCAACCTTTTTTCCAGCGCCCTGTCATCTTGAAGGAAGACACACCGAGAGGGACCCAAGCCAGCGTGTGTGTGTGTGTGTGTGTGAGAGAGAGAGAGAGAGAGAGAGCGCGAGCGCGCAGAATGTGTGTGAAATGCAGAAGGAAGACTATAGTCAAACTCTTCTCCCTCCCACCACCCCGGCCCCACAAACCCCCAGGTTACAACAAGGAAAAAGCCCTTGTAACCGGCAATGAGAAGAGAAGAGACTGCCTGGGTCCACCGCGCAGGTCGTGTGTATGAAGCTGCTCTATGCAAAGTTAACTACAGAGTCAAACAAAAATAGTGGAGGAGACAGAAAAGGGCAGACAATTGAAGGAAACCCAACCCCTCTTTCTTTTTACAAAGGGAGAATGGCTGTATTTTATTGGCCTTGGGCAGAAGTTGTGAGGATGGATTAAAGCCATCAAAAGAAAAAAAAACAGTTTATTTTATACCTTCAAATCCTTGACCGCCAAAACCAGAGAGAGGGTCCTTACTACGAGGACAATGAGGCAGATGCTACTTATCCAGGTATTCAATGTACCTAAATAAGCTAATTGGTCCATTTGGAACCCAGGAGCCTCCCACTGGGCTGGAGTCAGCCTGTTTGCTGATCTGTCATTGGCTCAGAGACCACCGCCCCACTCACAAGGTGGATGGCCCTGGGAAAGGAGGAAGCCCCAGAGGAGACTGTTTCTAACATGGGCAAAAGGGAAGAAGAAAAAGAATTGAGAAAATGGGAGGAAACACCTCCACGCACACACACATAGGCCTCCCATTACTATGCATGGGAACAGAAAAATTAAGGTAGCTCTGGGTGTATCCCGTCAGGTAACCAATAGTAATCAGCCAACACCCTGTTAAACAATGTGCTAAAGAACACTGAGGTGGAAGCGAAGGCAAAAATTACAACCGGCTACCCTGATGAAAGTCCAGCCCCGGAAAGAAGTAAAAGTTAATAGTCATACCAAAATCAGAGGCAACAGAAGCAAAAATAGGTAAATGGGACTGCATAAAATGTTTTAAAAACTTGCACAGCAAAAAGCACAATCAACAGAGTGAAAAAGCAAGCTAGAGAATGGGAGAAAATATTTGCAAATCATTTATCTGATAAAGGATTAATATCGCTAATATGTGAAGAACTCCTACAACTCAATAAAAAAAAAACTATTTAAAAATGAGCAAAGGACTTGAATAGACACTTCTCCAAAGAAGACATACAAGTGGCTAACAAGCATATGAAAAGATGCTCAACATTACTAAAGATCGGAGAAATGCAAATCAAAACCACAATGAGATGTCACCTCGTATCTGTTAGGATGGCCACTATCAAAAAAAAAAAAAAGAAAACCCAGCAAATAATAAGTGTTAACAAGGTTGCAAAGAAATCGGAACCATTGCACACTGTTGTAAAATGGTACAGCCACCATTTAGGAAATGTAAAATGGTATAGTCACTATGGAAAACAATATAGAGGTTCATGAAAAAAAATCAAAAACAAAACTACTTTATGATCATTAAATATAACTAAAATTAAAAATAGAACTATAATATGGTTATTAAATAGAACTACCAGATGATTAAGCAATCTCATTTCTGGGTATTTATCCAAGGGAATTGAAAACAGCATCTCAAAGAGGTATTAGCACACCCATGTTCATAGCAGCATTATTCACAATTGCCAAGAGATGGAAGCAACTTTAATGTCCATCAGTGGATGCATGGATAAACAAAATGTAGTATATACATACAATGGAATAATATTCATCCTTAAAAAGAAGGAAATCCTGTCACGTGTTACAACATACATGAGCCTTGAGGACATTATGCTAAGTGAAATAAGCAAGTCACAAAAAGACAAATACTGCATGATTCTACTTATATGACTATCTAAAATAGTCAAACTTATAGAAACAGAAAGTAGAATGATGGTTGTCAGGGGCTGTTGAGAGGGAAAAGAGGAGAGTTGTTCCATGGGTGTGGAGTTTCAGTCATGTAGGATGGGGGGATATTCTGGAGATTTGTTGCACAATATACATGTGGTTGACAATATTGTACTGTATGCTTGGAAATCGTTAGAAGGGTAAATTTTAGGTTACGTGGTTTTTTGCCACACAAAAAATTAATTTTTAAAAAAATAATTTGACTGAAGTCTGCTGACCCCAGCATAACAGAGGAGTGGATAAATAACTTATGTAATCGTTAAAATAATTTTATATATGCATATGTATTATGATACACACATATATAACAATCTTGGATATCATGTAATGAAAAAAGTGAAGTGCAGAACAGTGTATGATTTGCTACTACTTATGTAAAAGAGGAGGGGTATATGTTCATTCTTGTGAAGGAGCTCAGGAAATTTCACCCCAGAATATGACTTCTTGGTATAAAGAATATTTTGAATTAAAGGCCTTTAGAAATCAGGCCTGGCAAGGTGGGTGGCTCACCCCTGTAATCCTAGCATTCTGGGAGGCCTAGGAAAGAGGTTTGCTTGAGGTTAGGAGTTTGAGACCAGCCTGAGCAAGAGCAAGACCCCATCTCATAAAAAATAGAAAAATTAGCTTGAAATGGTAGCAAGTGCCTCTAGTCCCAGCTACTTGGGAAGCTGAAGCAGAAGGATTGCTTGAGCCAGGAGTTCAAGGTTGCAATGAGCTATGATGATGCCACTGCAGTCTGGCCTGGGCCTGGGCAACAGAGGGAGAATCTATCTCAAAAAAGAGAGAGAGGCCGGGCGCGGTGGCTCACGCCTGTAATCCTAGCACTTTGGGAGGCCGAGGCGGGCGGATTGCTCGAGGTCAGGAGTTCGAAACCAGCCTGAGCGAGACCCTGTCTCTACCAAAAATAGAAATAAATTAATTGACCAACTAAAAATATATATACAAAAAATTAGCCGGGCATGGTGGCGCATGCCTGTAGTCTCAGCTACTCGGGAGGCTGAGGCAGTAGGATCGCTGAGCCCGGGAGATTGAGGTTGCTGTGAGCCAGGCTGACGCCACGGCACTCACTCTAGCCTGGGCAACAAAGTGAGACTCTGTCTCAAAAAAAATAAATAAATAAAAAAAAAAAGAGAGAAAGAGAGAGAGAGAGAGAGAGAGAGAGATAATCATCAGGGAAATGCAAATTAAAACCACCATGAGATTTCACTTAACTTCAGTGAGAATTGCCTTTATCAAAAAGTCCCAAAACAATAAATGTTGGCGTGGATGCGGAGAGATAAGAATATCCATACACTGCTGGTGGGACTGCAAACTAGTACAACTTCTGTGGAAAGTAATATGGACATATCTCAAAGAGCTAAAAGTAGAACTACCATTTGATCTAGAAATCCCATTACTGGGCATCTACCCAAAGGAAAAAAAGACATTCTATAAAAAAAGACATCTGCAGTTGAATGTTTATAGCAGCACAATTCACAATGGCAAAGATGTGGAAACAACCCAAGTGCTCATCAATACCCAAGTGGATTAATAAAATGTGGTTTATCTGTACCATAGAGTTCTACTCAGCCACAAAAAACAATGGTTGTCTAGCACCTCTTATATTATCCTGGATAGAGCTGGAACCCATTCTACTAAATGAAGTATCGCAAGAATGGAAAAACAAGCACCACATATACTCACCATGAAATTGGTATTAACTGATTAACATTTATATGCACATTTAGTAATAACATTCATCCAGCATTGGACAGGTTGGGGGTAGGAGGGGATGGGCACATTCACACCTAATGAATGCGGTGCGCACCATCTGGGGGATGGACACGCTTGAAGCTCTGACTCGGGTGGGGCAAAGGCAATATATGTAACCTGAACATTTGTACCCCTGTAATCTGCAAAAAAAAAAAAGAAGAAGAAGAAAGAAATCCACAGACTTTGGAAGGGGCTTTCTCTCTGTCCGGATAAACCAGACGACTCATCAAAATGACAATAGACTTCCTTTTCCTTCCTGATTACCTCAATGTATCTCAGGAAAGAAGATCAAGAAGAATGCAAAGACACCTGGCCCAAATCATTTCAAATATAATACCTGTCTTTCAGCTTAATTTACAAGTCAATCGGTTTCCCCCTCATCCATTCATTCTCCCAAGTATCCATTCATCCTCCCTAACAACTATTCATTGCCCCTAAACAGAATTACCTATATTCCTCATCGCCCCTCCACTCTAAAAGGAGGGTTTATAAATTTCTGGACCACACTGTGATGTGGGCTAATCACTCTGCGATTCTCCCCATTTGTTTATTAATCTGCCTTAATTGCGAGTTAATCTTTCAGCAAACTTTCAGTTTCCCCTTGCCTGATACTTGTATGTGCATAGATTTTTGTGTAAAGATACCTGAGAAACTGATCACACCGGTTGCCTGAGGGACAAGCACAGGAGGGAGTATTTAACACTGCACAGGCTTTTTGTATTGTTTGAATTTTTTATAATGATCGTGTATTACCATTTCAAAACCAATTTTAAAAGAGAAAAGAGCATAGAAACAGAAAGTAAAATCAAGGTTACCAGAGGCTGAGGGGAGGGGGGAAATCAGGAGTTGTTGTTTAATGCATACAGAGTTTCTGTTCCGGGGTGATGAAAAAATTCTGGAAATATTGTGTTACACAACATTGCGAATCTACTTAATGCCACTGAATTCTACACTCGAAAGTGGTTACAATGGTAAATTTATGTTATGTGCATTTTACCACCATAAAACAAATAAAAAATAAAAAGGAGGAGGTATACAGAACAAGTGCAGAGCAAACAGATGTATGTATGTGCCAGTAAATGCACAGAAAAGAATCTGAAAGCATCCTGTAAACGGTGTGAGCCCGGACTTGGGGTAGGTGTTTGAGGAAATCTTTCAGTTTTGATTCTATTTATTTTATAACTGTTTGAATATTCTACAATGAGAATTTCTTTTGT